GATTAAACTTGAATTGTGTCAGGTGTGTTGATCGAAATAGTTGTTTCCCATTGTTGATTATATAACCCCCAAACGGCGATGAAACGTCTCCTTCTGTATTGGGTATTTGCATATGATTTGACCCGTTTGTCAATCGGGTCATGACATGGCCAACTTTTTTTTTATCACCGGGTCTTGTACACGACAGATCAAGACACTCACCGCGTCCTGTCTTGCAGATCATCGCGTGTTCTACTCAAGTATGACAAACAAAACTGTACTGTAAAGAGTTTCTGAAGGCCCCCCCCCTCACCCGTAACCTGAACTCTAACCCTAACAATCAAACCCCTAATGTAATTCAACATGCCCCTCCAAATAACTATGATAAGGGACTCGAAGAGAAGTTGAAATGGGGAGGGCTAATGGCGGAGCAGGGTTAGGTTTAGAATTTGAATGATGGTGCCCTGAGAAACTCGTACTCAATAACTTACCTATAGTTGTGATTGCCGTGACACACAGATAAAAGCCAGTCGTGAACTCCCAAGGCCGGCCAGCAGACACGTAGTTATTAATCACAAATTGTTCATATTTGTAGATAGCCTCGATTACGCCACTCGCGTTGAACGTTTCACTTTCATATGTACATCCGGTATTATTCAGGATCGCCATTGTCAAATTCTTGCGTGCAGTTGAACGCAACTCCTTAAGTTGGTGTTCGTTTGTCTCTTCTGGTTCTTCGATCGCCATGAAGATAGCAGCACCAAAGCACAGGTAGCCGATAAGGAGTAGCGTCAACCATAGATTTACTTGGAAGTTGGTGGAGAAGATGAAACACTTGCGGCGACCGCGATGGCTCGTCATTGTTTACGATAAACAAATAGACCTATACCTTAAATTGTAACTTTGCGTCAGTCACGGTGACTAGAAGAAGGGATATTCAGTTCACTACTTCGACTCTTGTGGCTCATTCACATTCACCTCGTATAATTCCACACGCTCGACTGACCTGTAAGTAAACATACGCACGTCTTTTGATTAGACCAAGCGATTTCGTTGATGCGTGACAGTGACTATCGCTGACGTTCAACAGTCTTGTAGTCGCTTTAGCTACGAGGGAATTGTAGTTCCATGGGCTACGTAGCACCGACATGTACCATGAGTTCATAACATTGTTGCTGCTCTGCCTTGCGCAGCGTGTATGTTTGGCCAAATATAGCGAGTGTACTTTGAAGTGAAACGCAACGAAGCCAACAACGACCAGTACAGAATACAATAGAACAAAAGACAACCAGGACAATAATACACTATCCAGCTGCTATCATGTGAATTAAAATTGGTTACCTGCAATTTTCTGCATTCTAATTTTTTCTTTTGAAAATTACACTGTCTGTTTCAAAGATGAAATCGATCATCATGATGGTGTAATTAATATTCCCGCGTTTCGCAATAATAACTATTTTGATATCTAAGTTTCCATTAAAACATTGAGATCTAATATAATTGTAATTGTTCTGGTCTACTACTTGGATTTAATTTCGTAGATTTCACTTGTCAGCAAAAATACCTAAATCCAAGGTAGAACACAACAACAATATTGATAATATTAACACGAGCTCAAATTATCGGGACTTTTGATCTGATAACAAAAAAATAAAAAGAAACGCTATTTTTGTGTGCAGAGAAGACCATTTTTTAAGTAAATATGACGTAATTGTTTTGTTTTTCGAAATCTGGCTATATCAAAGGTATTTTTCAGGAAAAACATTTCATTCGGGAGGTAGATTTCTATGCGAGTGCCCAAAGGCTAATACATCACAGGCGCTCGTTAGTTCAACCACGCACTTACAACGAGGTGACATCAATATATTATGACATAGTCATGGCGTACACATTAAAAGTATTTCACTTGCATATTTTGGATGGTGTGGGTATGACCTGAATCGTAATTAAAACGGTCAACCTCACCTAAAGCCAGAGAATAGTTAAATACTAGTAACTAAGATAGTACGATAAAGTACGAGTCTACTAATACGTTCAATGATTAATTATATTCAAATTAAAATTCTAATCGAAGACTTGTCAAACTTACTGGTAACGTAATTGATATCATTTTAAAATCAACACACCAACACAGTTTTTTTTTAAACTGAACAAACGAAGGAAAAAAAACGTATTTCGGAATGGTGACTAAATAGAAATGAGATAAATTGTAAAATTTGCCTAATCTCTTATATGATGACGTCAAGGTTGTAGGTAATACTCTAATCACCGAGGTTTTCGCAGGCATCAACATAGCTCAGTCAATCGGTTTTGAGTTGTCAAGGTATACGTATCATGTGATCCGGGCTTTGCTGTGCCTGGACTAGTCTTTCTGAAATATAGCCTATATTCCGTATTCAAATACAAGATTGCACCACACACGAGGATGATCTAAATACGCCGAATATTATGGAGTTGGGGGAGGAGCCCTATCCTTGTTATCGAATGATAAATTAGACTGTCTATCTCTCACACCAGTGTCATTTATATCTGATACAAGAATGTTGCCTTTGGCCTAAAACAAACAGTCAACAACATTACTAGTAATAATTAACTTATTGCTGCATTATGACAGCGTCATACTATGTATTACTATGTTATCTTGCGTAATCATCGCGAAATGGTGTGCGCCCGCAACGACTGAAGTGAATACAATTTTGAAAAATATCACTCCTGTGATTGCCCATATGGCCAGGGTGAATATTTTATTATACTTTCAAATATATCTCAGACTGGTGATAAATACCAACGTATTGTTAGAGAATTTACACGCTTGTGCTTATACACATTTTATCCATTTTGATATCTTCTTTTTCGTGAAGTGCGTCAGTGAATTTATTATCTAGATTTGGTATTCCGAAATAATGGCTTAATTTACTTAATCTTGAAAGAGTTGACACTTTGCAATTTTAGAATATCAGCTCATAATATGTTTATTCAAACAGGCGTGAGATTATTCTTTAAACACAGAGAGTTTGTAATTATTGCCCGAAGTCAACGGTGTACTCAAAACGAGTTTCACTTTTTGCTATACTGCCATTTTTGCTCTCAGTGTCTGGAAAACATTCTATTTCAAACACAAAGATCGCATCAGGTTTGTTCTTCTCGCAATCACAGACAATAAACTGTAACAGAAAAACATTGTGTTGTTATTTCCAGAACGCGAAAGCGTTAAAAATACTGTAAATAGGTAATTTTCCGTACAATTGCGAGATCTCGCGAGATGCACGAAAGACGCGCGTCGAACGTCTGCCGCAAAAATCGAACGATTTGATTTTGAACTCGAATTTCTTTATTTCGTAGCTCACATCGACCGGCCGATCTTCGACAGAGGAATATTGCTTCCGAATACCCTTACTTAATCGAAATTGCCTATCATCAAATGTGGACAGCACATTATTAAGCATGGAAATGTCCCCGAAATACTTTCGCGTTTGTCGAATCCCACGCGATGTTTGACGCGACTACGACGCTATGACCTTTGTTTGTCCTGTTTTTACGTTCGATTTCACGCATAACGCGTGATTCTCGCAGTGTACGGAAAATGGTCTATTAATTGTTTACCGTCTTCTACTGGTTGTAAAATAATTTCGCTGATGAAGCCAGTCTAGTACAGTCGTTGTACAGAGTTCGCCCCTACTAAAAGAAACTAAAAGAAGCAGTTTCCCGAAAACGCGCACATTCACAGTAAACAAGTTTTCATCATATCGGTTTTTTAACATTGTCAGTGCTTTGAGTCATGAAATATGATGATTTAAAATACCAGCTCATCAAGTTACACTATAGCTTGGTGTTTTGTTCGTACATCCATTATTTCTCAAGTACGTGGCCATTTTCTTAAATAGGATGTTCGAATGGGAACCACGCCAAACACTACGCGGCGCTTCAAACGGTAGTATAACGTGACCAGAGACAGTGAAAATCGGCATTGCATTTGAAACACGTCGGGAATGCGTTGCCAGTGTCTTTTTGTGTATATATATGTTGTGTAAAGTTTTTCCAGAGCCCAATGTCAATGTCAGTAGAATGACGTATATAATGTGGCAATTCGTCCAAATCATGCACTACAAGTCAACCACGTGATTTCCATTTAAATCGAAGGGGTCATCACTTGGGCGCTCAAGGGAATCGAGTCCTGGCCGGCGTTAACAATGCATGCTGAAAGCGCAAATGCTCATGGGTAGACTCTTATTTGTAAACAACGACACATTATGCATGTCCGTCTGTCGCGTGCACAGGTGATGACTCCCCTCGATTTAAACGAGTTGAGATTCGAGACTTTAATTTTCACTTCCATGTACTGGGAGGGCGCACTTTTCTTTCTTTTTTCTTTATTTCTTCTGTCTAATCGTTATGACTGTCGCTAAAGAATATAACCTGTGTGGGTGATTCAATAAGCACTGTTATCTCTTACACAATGTTGATGTTAGTGATGAATAAATCAGAAAATGTCAAAAAGCCTGTTGTTTCTGTGAAAAGGATTGTGTTATGTGTCAGGTGCAAAAGTTATTATCTTGGTTTTGAAAGTTTTGAAACTATCATGCAAAATTAGACGGCAAACGAAAGATGGTAAAATGGCAACAATACAAATACTACGGGACGAAGGTTCACCAGAGAAAAACACAATAGAAGGAAAACGTTAGTTCGATTTAATGTTTGGATATTAATGAAATGTGCTATCAATTGAAATGAACTCTTTACTGAGTGGTATTGCCTCCATCAGCAAAATGTATTTAATTAAATTTATACCGCAAAATGTTACGTACACTTTAGCAGATGTTTACGAAATGTAGCTTATAGCGATAAGCATCCAACGCGAGGCATTTTTTGTCTGTGAAGGGAAACTTGTAGATCACTTTATCCGTATTCTTTGCGGAGCTATACGATTCTGTCATAAAAAATCGGTTACCTGATGCAGTTGGTGGTGCACGGCGTAACACATCGGAAAGGTTATACGGGATTTATCCAGCATCTACGAGGAAAGAAAGCAATCCCGTGTATTTGGAAATTCGCGTTGTAAGTTTAGGCTTTGAAATGACAAATTGTGCGCAAAACGCAATGTATATGCATGTCGCGCCGGGCTGGCAAACTGACGTCGATCTTTTGAAACGAACGAAGACCAAGACCAAACTATCGGACTGTTTGACACGAACTGCGGTTTTATATTAAATTGCATTATGGGTAAATGTAGAGATAACGTGGAAATAGTTTACGCTACTAGCACAAACTTTTTAGTCTACCCGCAGTGGATTTAATTCAGCCTATTTGCATATAATATTTAATTTCAGCGTATTATCAGACGAACCGCGGAATAGATATCAGCAAGTATCATATCTGCACGCTTTATCAACAAGAACACACAAATGCACAGAACAATGTATTCTCTATTCAGTGGCCTTTGTAACAGTTAAAGACGAGATAAATTTTAAGCAGTCAAGGAAAGGCGGTATTCTTTAGAAAACACGCAATAATTTAAATTGAGATAACATTCCACGGAAATTCCACACAGAAAAAAACAACACTTTCAACTACTTTTTCTTTTAAAATAATTTACCGAAATTATGATTGGTAGTAATATAGTGCATATTATTTTAAAATCGGGATAGTGTAAAATGTTTTTCCTTTTGATCGCAAATAAATCACGTGTTCGGATGTGTCTGTTTAATTATAAGTCA